AAAAAAAAAAAGAAATGCATGGATTCTTTAATTTGGGATTACATTTCATGGTCAATTGATTGTGGCTTTTATTTGTCTCAAACTCTTAATCAAACAGATGCTCAAACTACTATTAAAATGCAAGACTGATAAGCTTGCGAGCAATCAGGCTGGTTTAACGGCACTGGCTGTTGCACATGAACTTAATAACAGTGAGAGCATTAATATTCTGCGTGGTTGGCGAAGTTCAGGAGTTTTAAGCTTTCAATATAAGAGGCGGAAACAAATTATCAAGCCTGTGACAAGAGCATCAGAAGTAATTTTTAAGGGTATGTACAGTATATCAAGCTTCGGATTGCTTCTAACAACTACTTGCCAAGTAGTAGATACAGGCTTCCTGCTATGTTTAATCCTCTACTATATTGGTCATTTATTGACCATGGTTCTGGTTGATATAAGTCATTATCATTTTCAAATTAAATATTTGTAGCTCTTAAGAAGCTTGTGGCTGCAATGCAGTTTAGGAGAGCTAACCATAAAAGCCATTGAATTTTTTAGAAGATAATATATTTTCAAATATATTTTCAATATATTCTGGCAATTCAATAAGATTATTAATAAATGTAATTGACTTTGCTTCATTTGTATAAAATAATTCAATATGATTATAACTCTTTCTCACTTATAATATAAATCTTATTATTAATTAATAAATATAGTTGACAAAAATAAATATTAACTTCTCAAAAGTTATTAAAAAAAACACAACGAATAGAATTTTAAAATAAATCTATTTACTGGAACAACTTTAAATGCTAACGTGATTTTTTCACTAAGAAACCAATGAATCGCAAGTATTGAATCTAATTCAATAATTAAAGACCTCCCCCTTTCTTGACTTCTCCTAATCCGAACCACCATGAGTGATAAAAATTTTGAAGAGCCATCGCTCCCTTTCTTGAGTTCACCTAATCCTAAAGTGTTGTCGTCACATTGATTTTTCACTCTTATGAGCCGTCCCTAAGTTTTGAATATTACATAGCCACAAGTGCTAACCCGCCATGAATATATTTAAAACCAGATTCGAGGACAGAGAGAGAGGGAGTTGTCATCATAGTGGTCCAAATTATTGAAAATTTTATAATATATACAACTGTTTTACCACGAAAACTCCTCTATTCTGTCTTTACTGTTCCCGGTTGACTAAATAGCACCGAGGTTTTTCGTTGTAAGTTCGTCAGGGTACTCTTCTGCATCCTCTTGATAGATGCAAATTCAGGAGGGTCTTTACTAAGAGCGAAGACAAGCACCTTAAAGCGTGACCGACTAAAAGCAACCCATTCCAAGGCCAATTGTTATATAAACGGAACCATTCTCCTCTTTCCTTCTCACTCTTGCTTGCTTCATTTTCTCTTTCTACTTTATATCTGCTATAAATAGACTAACCCTTCCAGTTATTTTCCAAAGATTATTATTCAATCTTATCGATGGATGAAAGGTTGAGGAGTGCAGCTCTATCAGGAAATATAGATGCCTTGTATGATTTAATCGAAGATGACGCCGATGTTTTACGACGCATCGATGAGATGGAGTTTGCTGATACTCCCGAAAGAAACATATAATCGTTTGACTAAGTTTCTCAATGCTTATCCTAATGTATCCACCATGTGACAAGTCGAGATGAAACTACTCTGCATGTTGCTGCAAGTAACAACAACATAAAAGCTCTTGAAGTTCTACTACGTTGGCTTAGGAAAACCAACCTAAAATCGATTTTTGGATTGTTTTAAATTTTCAAAAACCGTGAAAGATGTGAAGAGAGAATTTTTTTTTTTGAAAAGATTGGAAAAGTTGGATTAATCAAATTGGAAAAGTTGGATTAGGTTTTTTTTTAGGAAAAACAACTTCAATTAAGAATATGGTAATTAGTTAAGAAACATGACAATCAGTTTACAACAATTAGGTTTTTTTTTAATTTTTTGTTTCAAATCTTTAACCAATAATTTTTGGATATTTAAAACAGAAAAAACCCAATTCATAATCAATAATTTTTTATGTCACATCATTTGTCACGTAGGTTTGACGCCATCAAGATGACACGTAAACATATCATATGGCAGATGACATGATATCAAAATTCTTAATTGTATTGATAACTAGTGAAAGTGAATCAACAGTTAGTGAGAAGAGTTTATTTAACTCAAAATAAAAATTCAAAAATTTATTTGAATGCAATAAAATGATAGAGACTAAATTAATTTTCTTGCTATAGTTTGAGGGTTTATTTGAATATTTAACCTTTTTTTTTTATCTTATTTTTCTTTCTTAGTCCTTGACTAAGAAGATGGGCTCTAAGAAAAGGGTATGGGACTTAGGCACAATCCAAAGAAGAAAATTTTAAATTTTGAAAATTTTGAAAATAGCCCAATATAATTGAGGACAAAAAAAGATACAATTAGATCCCAAATGAGAATCCTTTTGAGCCCAAACAAATTAAAGGATGTAATCTAAATTAAAAAAATAAAATTAATTAGGTTTAAAGACAAATTAATTTAGTCCCAAAATGAAATAAAATTAAAATATAATAACAAATTCACTTGGATAAAATGGATTGTCCACAAAGACAAAGATATTTCTATTAGGCTAGTTATATATCCTTAATAACATTAAAAGTTATACAACATATAATTAAAAGTTAAGCGCATGAGCATACAGGAGTCTATCGTTAAGAACAATTGTTATGTCACATTAATGAAAAGTAAGGACTAATTACATATACTCACATATCAATTTTGATTGCATTCTGAATTATGAGACATTATAATTGATGTGGTAAAAAGTGATGTATCTTATCATTTCTCTCCAACTTTACTTTTTTATTTTGCCCTTTTGGATTTTTAATGTTATTTTTAAATAAAATTAATGACTAAATAGAGCACCAAGGAGTTTTATTACTAGTAAGTTCCTCAAGGATGAATACAACACCTTCTTGCCTTGCCCCTATCAAGTATTAGATAATTTCGTAGTTTTAATTAATTAGACTTAACAATTTGTATTCGTGTCTTTTAAAAATATAAATACAATAACTAATAAATATAAATATGACATGATTAATTAAACATTTTAAGAGTCTAAATACGAATATGGATATGTTTATTAAATATGTAACACAACACGATACACCTAACACATTTATCAAATGACCTAGGTTAAATTTTATATGATATGACACAATTTAAAATCTGTTTAAGCAATTAACATGATTAAAATTTTAAATACAATCAACATGATAAAACTGATTAAATAAAATGCTTACAATTACAAATAAAATATAATTTCATTATTCAACTTTAAAACTAATATTCATAAAAGCAATTATAACAAAACAATAATACCCATCAAGTATAA